AGTAATCAGTTGCATTAGAAGAAAAATATTGGATGCACATGGGAGAAGAAGGGCTGGAAAGGTAATCGTAAGCTTACCTTTTTTTTGAGAGAGGATTTTGAGTGCTTGAGTAAGATATTGAAGCATCGAGAATAAAGACGAGATCACAGTGAGTACTAAACAAAGACTTCCTTTAGCTTCTTCGTCGCTAAAGAAAAAGACAAGAGTACACGAAACCCAAAGACCAATACAAGTCGGTATGGAACCTACCATGCCAATCTTCTTAAGGATACGATAGCAAAACAGGAGCTTGGGGCCCATCAAGCCCGCTCTTTTGGATTCATTTTCACTCGAAAATATAACCTTAATTTCATCATCAAGTTTAAATGTATCCTCACGAGTAGATTTTATCAAGCTATTCTGGTGATTCTCTGGATCCTCTGGATCCTCTGGATCCTCTGGATCCTCTTGATTCTCTGGATCCTCTGGATCCTCTTGATTCTCTTGATTCTCTTGATTCTCTTGATCCTCTTGATTCTCTTGATTCTCTTGATTCTCTTGATTCTCTGAATCCTCTTGATCCTCTGAATACTCTGAATCCTCTTGATTCCCTGAATCCTCTTGATTCCCTGAATCCTCTTGATTCTCTGGATCCTCTTGATTCTCTGGATCCTCTTGATTCTCTGGATCCTCTGGATTCTCTTCATTCGGGATACCAGAACTGGTGGTAGCATATTTTTTTTTAAGATTATTCGAAAGATCTAGATATCTATAAACAAGAAACTCAATTGAAGAAGTAAACGTAGTTGTCAAGAGTATATAGAAAAACGGAAATTTCACAAAAAAATCAACACCTATGGGCTTTGATTCAATTTTGGTATAATAATTGGCATACAAGAAGTTAAGATGCCACATGAAAAAGGCTGAAGAAGATGCAAAAAGGCTTGAAATAATATAAAATGGAGATGTCCCTTTTAGCCCATCCCTCAAAAAGGTATTGCACTGGTTAACCGAGATAATGAAAGCCACAGTGGGAAACGCTACAGCGATCAAAAGTGTGATCCAAAAGCTCTCATAAAAATAAAACCCAAACGTAGGGGTGGATGTTGCATTTGCAGTCGATATTGTATGGTCTAAAATCGATGAAGCATTATTTGCGACTAGCTGGCTCACCGTTGAGTACATAGTTGCAGAATGCGTGGCGGGGATTTAATTTGAAAAGTTTAAATTAATTTTTTATAATTTAATCGATGAATTCAAGTTTAGATGAGCTTATTGCTGCAAATAGGAAGCCAAAGAACCACCCGAAGGTTTTTAATGCATTTTTATTTCAGGGAACTTACAAAAAGCCTCATATTAAGAAAGTACCGGCAGTTCAGGCAACTTCAAATAGAAAATCGTATATCCATTAATTCATTTATTGTGGTAGTGAACCGCCAATCCAAATAACAGTTAGAAATCGTGCCGCTGCTCGAAAGAACACAAGCCGACCAGAACGTCATGCCCGTAGCCAAAAGCCAAAGCCATCTACTCTTTTAATCACAGTTTCTCCCAATTCTAGCACTCCACCACTTGCGTCTAGGTTTAAGCTCACAAAGAAAAATCCACCTATTGTTATTAGGAAAATTTAAGAAATAAAATTTGACGAGCAGAGTTTAAATTAATTTTATTTTCAATGTCAAATTCATTTATTTCTGCTGGCTCTTCTTTGTCAGCCTCAGCGGGTAAGAGTACTCGTGTCAGCCACCAAGCCGTTTCAAACTGGAATGGATTTTCGTCTCTCTTCTCGAAAGAAAAGATTATTTTGAATTTCAAATCTCGACATATTTGGCATTCCTTTCTTGATGTTTACAAATATAGCGCTCCGCCTACCATTCAAGAAGCGAAGCGAAGAATCGAACTAAACGCGTCCGCATATTACCTTCAATATTCTCTCATAGCTGCTCTTATTCTTATCCTTACAGTTCTTTCAAATGGATGGAGATCAATTTTTGTTTTTTCGTTTATCATTTTTGGCATTCTTGGTATTTTGTATAGCTGGCCTCGCCGTACACATGCCCTGATTCTCCCAACTCCCTTTGACGGGATACAAGTTTCGTGGCATGCTGCCATTTCGCTATGGGCGTTTATTTCTCTACTTTCAATACTTTCCACCGGCATCTGGATCGTCTTTCCGATAGCACTTGGATTTTCTACATTCATCATTGGGATCCACGGCATTTTCCACTCTTACGAGCCCAATTTAGATGTGGATGCTCCGGATGGAATTGTGTAAAGTGTATTAAATATTTTGTAAATAAGTTAACAGGTTTTGGAAGAATAAGCATCCATCATGGAGTTGATGAGCTTAATCTCCGATTCCAAGAATGTCCAATTCCCAACGGCCGGGTCATTTGGCTGGTACAATGACGGAACATCGGCATAAGGTGACAAGCTCTTCGAATTTACAGTTGCCGAGTTCAACCCAAATGGGATGCGACCATCAATTTCAAAGGAACAAGTTCCCGACTCGAATATTCCAGGTGAAAACAATTGGGAAAATTTGTTTTCGCTTGAAGAACCGGTTCGAACTTTTTCGCCATCAATATCGCTTAGTGCAATGATGCTGGATTTTTCTGAGGAGAATGTGAAATCTTTTTCAAGCGAAGAAAGGGAAAGTGGCGACAACAGTTGCGAATACGCAACGAGCTCCGAAAGTGACGGGGAAATAAGCTCGTCCTCTCGCTCTGGAACCAAAGCATGCAGACCGGGTTCATTCTCTAGCCTCATTAACGACTGAATTGGCTGGGCTAAGCAAGAGTATTTTTTCTTTGGCAGCAGCATCATAGCATAAGCCCCAGGAACAAGAAGCGAAGGATCTGGAGATCCACAAATGGGTGTCTTTGCATGCTTGTGTGTTGGCTTCCATGAAATAATGTCGTCAATAGACGGCGATAATACGCGATCCAAGAAAAAGAACCTACAAACCCCTGTGAAAATAATATCTAGATTAGAGACTAAAATTGAGAGATACGAGTCAATTGAGCAAGGCTTTAAGGGGGGCGACATATTTTTGTCCGAGTCCCCTTTGCGATTGTCTTTTCCTTCGATATCGGAATCAAATACGCTTGCAGTTTCTGGATACTCGGAAAAGATCTCGGGGTCCGGCATATTCTTGCTTGAGCACTGACAAAAGGATAAGAAATTTTGTAAAGCCTCGACATTAATGGAGCGGTTCGATCTATCAATTAACTTCCATTCAAGCACGTTGGAAAAGCTTTTCGTCCACGTGATAAAACACGTCCATGAATAGGTTAGGCTTGGCATTCCTTGGAGTCTAGAGACATAATCAGACCCGACACATAAAAGCGAAAGCAAAAAGAGACCATCTCGAAGCTCTAGAAAGCCTGTGGGATTTATTAGAGCAAGGGACTTTATAATTGAATGCGGAGAAAAAAGACTATTTTTATGCGTAGAATATGACACGTCGACCGTGAATAACGACTGGATCGGATAGGCTAGCGTCATTAACATCGAGTCTGCATCTGAGGCACATAAAAGTCTGCGCGTTTCATAAAAGTTGCGGGGACCTCCCCTCATAAGTTTAGAAAGCGAAATCGAAGACGAAGAAGCAAAAGGAGAAGCAGAGGTTCTCAATGCTGAGAATTGCTCATTAATCGAGATTTTCAGGTGTTGGATGTTCTTCCACTCCGCTTCTCCTGCTCTACAGGCACTATCTATAACGACAAAGGAATTTTTCTTGCTATGAGGGTTTGTGTGCATGGAGTTCTGTTGCATCAGAAAATCTTTAGCAATCCAAAACAGACATCGCTCGATTAAAAACATCAATGATGATCCCGGTGTCAGTGCTTCCCTTCCAAAAGTCTCGGAGCCCATATTTGAGGTCTTGTCGTAGCGAAATCGCCTTCTTTTTTGAAGCTCCCATTTTACCAATGGAGCTATTCCGTCAAGAGCAATAAACAGACGGGACGCGCCTTGATATCGCTTCATAATCAGGAACATGACGTGATACAATTGCTCAAAGAGCGGCACCATGGCCAATGATTTAATTTGCGCATCTGTAATGATAGGATTTGGTGTTTTTGAGCATGACTCTGCTGAATGAAGTTGGCCAAGCATTTGTTGGATCTTGGTACTAACTGCCCCTGTGAGATGTTTCCGTGAAAGATTGTGGATAATGCCATTCATATCGAAATATATCTCAGCCACAGGCTCTCTATACAATTAACGGTCCAATGTTTGGCATTACTTTGGCTTATGGTTAATGAAAGCAGATGGAAATTGCTTTTTGAGAAATCCAGAGAGCCCTCTGACCCCCATGGCAATAAAATTTAAATTTACATTTAAATTTGAAAATATACAAGGAAATCGTTGCAAAAGACCAGTCAAGGCTAGCTGTTTGGCGACAGCATTCGATATTTGCTATTGGGCTGGCCATGTAAATGCGCTTGGCCCAAATTGCGATTAAACATTAATCGTCCGAAAAGCAATTATTGGTTAAACGGCTAAATTTAAAGTTTTACCACTCATTTACGAATTGTCTACAAAAGAAATCTTCCATGCTGCAATCGGTGGCTGGTTGGTTATAACAATTCAAACTGAAGGATCCGACTTCGGAGATTTATAGCACTCTTCCGACAAACTCAGCAGCCAAAAGCAGCAGTCTCAAAAACTGTGGTGGTAGGCCAGCCTCTTCATGGGAGCGGTACTAACGAGAATTTCAATCCCGTTTCCTTCAAGCTTAAAATCGTTGATATCTTTAACAGCGTTCGAAATAAAAGATTTTTCGGCAACATCACAAGCAGATGCTGCCGTTAATTCTTGGAGCTTGCGTCTAAGAATTGAGTTTTCCACTTCAAGCTGAATATTACGACTGCACAGCTGCTGCATCATTTCTTGTCTCTTAGTCCGTGATGCATCAGCAGAAATCCTGTTCATAATTCGGCGGTGGTATAGTTTCGAGGGATCAGGTGGCTTTTTTGATTTCATCCTTGGATGATTTTAAAAAGCTTACCCGCAAATGTAAATTTAATTTTAATTTTAAATTTTAAATTCGATTATTCAACGGCAATTTAGACCCCCCCCCTCGATTGGTATATTTTTCAAAGGTGGGCCTCTTTTGTTGCTGTGCAATGGCGCTGCGGCTTTGACGATTCTTATTTTTGCAGCCCCTTCTATTTTCAAGTCTTTCTCTCAAAGACAAGGGCTTTCCATCTCTCTGGCAATTTTTTCAACATATATTTCACAAGCGGCCTTCTATTTTATCTCAAAATCTTCCTCAAAAGAGGTATGTTTTTAATCGATATATTAAGAAACGCCTGTTTAAAGTACTAGAAACCTTTTTGGCACTGACTTCGGTGTACATTGGTCTTCAATGGATGCCTTCTTCGTTTCTTGTGATATACGAGCACTTGATCGTTATAAGCCATCCGTTGATGACGCTGCTTGAAGGGTTCTGCTTTATGATTGTTCTCCTCTCGTTCGGGCAATGGTTGATAAATTTAATAACAAAGCTTGACGAATCGGAAGATCAAACATCGCTAACGGTGGTTAAGGTTTGCTTTTCTGATCGGCTTACTTGTCGTAGGTGCTTGTGCTACTTTTGTCGTCTGCCATTTTTATTGGATCAATCTATTGGATATATGCTATAATCTCGAGCGGGACCATTACACGGATCTCAACGGCGCTTCTTTCCTCAAGTATTACTCTTTTTTGCGTCCTTTTTACCATTTCGCTATTTGCCAGCGATACGCAGATGATAATCTCGGATTCTGTTCTGGTCCTTCTATATCTGGCATACAATGTTTGGATTATGTCTAGAAGCTCGTTGAGAGCTAGTCCCTTGACTAAGAACCAGGTGCCCGTTTTTGCAAAATGGAAGCCAGGCTCTTTTTCGGCAGCAAACTCGGGGTTCCTAGCCATGAAAGATGTGTTCTACGAATTGCTGTCAATAGTGGCCACTCCCTTTCTTTCGCTTTACTCTTCCACAATATCGATTCCGATCAATTCGATTGTGGATCAGTCTTTAAAATCTTGGAGCGTTGAAATCATTTTAAATTTTCTACTAAGAGTCTCTTTGTTTATCCTTGTTCCAAAACTAGTGGAATCTAACGGCAACGAGGAGGAAGAGGAGGAACGAATAGGCGAGACCCTCAATTCTATAGGGAAGGCGTGTCTTGTCCTTGTATATACCCACTCTGGCGGATTTACCTACGACAACAATGTTGTCTCGTTTTTTCCAAACGTCCCGCAGGTTCTTTCTGCCATTTGCGAGAGCCAATATTGGCGCTGGGCCAACGTATATTTCGTGCTGGCACTGTATCTTATCGCTATCTTGAACAGTAGAAGGGAGCTAGGCTGATCTCGAATGGAATTTCCCAATGCTTGCCAATTTCAAACTACATCAGAGCATTTGCAATCAATTTGCTGTAAAATCTTGAGTGAGTAAAAATAAAAGCTTTCAAGGGGATAGAAAATGCATTGCTTTATTACACGAATTAATTGAAAGTTAGAATTCAGAATCAAGGCTGAAGCGGCGGTCGGACGGCTTTTGCATCACGCCAGACTTTTGATATTCGCCAACTTTCTTTTCAAAAAAGTTGCTTTTTCCTGACATGGAAATTAAATCCATGAAATCAAACGGGTTTTCGACATTATACAGTTTTGACAAACCAAGTGAGAGCAGAAGTCTATCGGCAACGAAGCAGATATACTGCTTCATTAAGGTGGAATTCATACCAATTAGGTCGACCGGCAGAGAATCAACCAAAAAAGACTGTTCAATACTAACGGCCTCATCGATAATGGCATATATAATCGCCGGATCTGCCGGCTTTTTCAGGTGGGAATGTAATAGACAAGCAAACTCGGTATGTAGACCCTCGTCTCTACTGATCAGCTCGTTGGAAAAAGTAAGCCCAGGCATCAGACCGCGCTTTTTTATCCAAAAGATGGCTGCAAACGACCCGGAAAAGAATATGCCCTCAACTGCGGCAAATGCAACCAGTCTCTGCGAAAAGGGGGCATCTGGATTTGCAATCCAGTTCAAAGCCCATTTGGCTTTTTTTTCAATGCTAGGGATATATTCGATGGCGTTGAACAATTTTAGACGCTCCTGCTCATCGCGAATATATGTGTCAATCAGAAGGGAATACATCTCAGAATGGATATTTTCCATCATGATTTGGAACCCGTAAAAGAAACGAGCCTCTGGGATTTGCACCTCCCTAGCAAAGCGAACAACTAAATTTTCATTTACAATTCCATCGGAGGCTGCAAAAAAGGCCAAAACGTGAGAGATAAAATGGCGTTCCCCGTCATTCAGAGACGCCCAATGGGTTAGATCCTTTGACAGGTCCACCTCTTCGACCGTCCAGAAGGAAGCAACCGACTTTTTATAAAAAAGCCAGATTTCCTCATATTTGATTGGAAAAATCACGAATCTGGAAGGATTATCTCTCAACAAAGGTTCCTCCTCCTCCTCAGCGGCATTTGCATCGACCATTTCCACTTTATCTATTGCATGCATGTTTTCCTTGTTGGTTTCATCGTGAATTCCATTGAAATCCGCTTTTAAATTGGGTTTCAAGCCCGTGCTGGATAGTTGTTTGCAGTTGAAAGAGGGTGAAGTAGACATTGAGTGCGCTGCAAAAAGCGACTCATACAAAATCAGTTAATTTTAACTTAAATTTTATAAAATGAAGATGGCCGTGGTTTGTGCTAGTAATATGAACAGGTCTATGGAGACACACCATGCTCTGATGTATTATGTCTATTGCGTATTTTTAGGAAAAAAGGGATCAATATTTCCTCGTATGGAACTAATTCCATGGTAAAGCTTCCCGGTCCCAGCGCCGACAGGCCCAATGTCTATCCATTCGGGACTGCATATGAGTTCATGTACAACGATCTCAAATCGAAGGACCTGCATTTGTAAGGATTTAGTGCTTATTTACAGATACACACAAAACGGCATCTTGTATATGTTAGAGCGCAACAAGGGCATTAAGACTTGTYCGGAGCGGTTTCAGGAGTGCAAAGACAAATTCGACATTGTTTTTTCTTGCGAAGAAAGATGCTTTGAAATCATCTGTGATGGTATTTATTTTGTATTTGATATTCCTTTCAGAATATTCGAGCCAATCTTCAATTCATCGCTCTGCCGGCCCGCAGGGATATTCACCTACCCTCCCAAAGCTCGTCTACGTGATAAATTTTGAAATCAAAGACACGCAAGAGGATGCAACTGTTGGCGCTCGGTCTATCCTTCAAATGGCCCAGCAACTTCAGCCCATTTTTCATGCGCAGAGCGATGGCCAAACCACTGCTTCCTTCGATTCGATTATTTTCTCGTTTCAGGAAAAATTTCCCGAACTCAACATTTGCTATGCGATTTTCTTCACTTAGAAAGTCATACGCTGTACGATCGAGATTGAGGAGATCGTATATTTTATGCCATGTTATTTTATTTTATTTCATTTCAATAATAAGCTTACAAAGGTGGTGAGAGGAGCCATCAGCAGCGAGGAAAATAAACTAGTGGGTAGAGTCCATTTTTAAAATCAAATCGTCGCATATAGCCATTAGCTCTTTGTTTTCTTGCGTTTTAGCCTCGATTGTAGACTCTAGCGACTTGATTGTAAGCTCTGCGCGGGTGATTCTTGCTTTGAGGGCCGAGGATTCATTTGAGGCCTCTTGTCTGGCTCTGGTTACCTCGTTATTTGCCTCTGCGATTTTTTGTTCAGCTAAAAGCCGAAGAGATTCGTATTTTTGCCCGTTTCTCGAGATGTCTGCCTCAAGAGCAAGAATCGTGCCTCGCTGCAATTCTTCTGTCTACAGAAAAACGAATAAACACGTTCACGACAAACCTTTCGAAGCCCCTCATTAATAACCTTGATATCGTCAAATCGAGACTTGAGGTCGGAATATGATTGTTCCAGTTGAGATAGCTCTTTGACCAATCTCTTGTTCATGTTTGCAATATCGTCATTTGCCTTGGTAGCCCGAAGCTGCTGTAGCTCGACGATCATTTTCTTCATCGCATCTTCATATTCGGCAACTATCGCCTTCATAGCATTGATCTCCGACCTCGCTGTAGTGCATTCCTTTTGTAAGTACATGACTTGGGAGAAAGAGGAAGAATGTGAAGGTGAAGGTAAAGGCGATGAGACGAACTCGTTGTGTTGTTGCGATTTGCAGGGGGAGAGCAAAAGCGAGCCACATGGGGAAAGCGGATGTAACTTACACGGTGATTTTCCACTTTGATCCGCCTCGCACTGTAACGGGAGAAATTCTATGTTGCTGATGATGTTTAATGCATTTTCTTCAATGAGAATGGTCGACACCTACGCAGCAATAAATTGGAAATAGCGACAAACCTCCTTGAATTCCTCGTCCTCGTCTCCCTGATCATGATCGCCAGTGGTGGCTCCCCCAGCCAGCTGCTGGCCTCCGCAAGGCGGGGTCTGATCACTGCCATTTACCTGAATGCCGGCCAAATCAATCGGTGTGCAGTCAAAGGAGATCGCATTGTAGCTAGCCGTATTCGCTATGGAGACATCGACATAGTCAGTCATTTATTTCAAAATTAAAATATATTTACATTTCGGATCGTTGGAACATCGTTTCTGAAAGAATCCTCTCAACCTCTTTGTTGACAAATTCGTATCTTGACGAGTCTATAAAGAGATTCTTGTCATCTATATCTTCGATCACAAAGTTGTGCTTTGAATCCAAATGCAGCACTATCTGTTTTATTGACTCGTCAGAGCACGTCAAAAGCATTCCCTTAATTGCCTGGACCATTCCAAAATTAAAATTTATTGCGCAAAACGATTTAAATGGACGCTCCGGAAAATTTTGCCCTCAAAAGAGCAATTTCTTTATCGTCAAGATGACGGAACAGATATTCTGGAGTTCCAAGTATGTGTCCGCCAGGAATATCATCGAGTTTCAACGGTAGCTCACCGGATGTAGGGATCTTTCTCAGTGGGACATTCAGTTGGCGGCAGATGCTTGCAGAGGTCTCTGGAATAAATGGGTATAGAAGAGCTGCAATAAGATAAATAGAATTGAGCGAGAGATTGATCAAGGTATCACATTCGCTTCTTGATCCTTCAAAAAGGGAGGAAGACAGGCGTGCTGCGGTAATGAAGGTGTTTGTCAGATTTCCAATTATCATCACATCCTTCAGGGCAGCTTTGAGCTTAATATCTTCCATTTGACAAATATATGATGCCACGTGCTCGTTAACGTCTCCAATAAACTTTTCGAAAATGGAAAAAGTTTTCAACTCGCTCAATTGAGAGCTAGGTGCCGAGGATTTGTAAATCTTGGTAACAAATTTAACAATCCTAGAGACGAGATTGCCAATATTTCCCAAAAGGTCGCCATTGTTTTTGGCTTGCAAGTCATCCCATGAAAAAACAGAGTCTGAGCTTTCAGGGCGGTTGATAAGCAAGTAGTAACGCCACACAGACTGCGAAATGTTTGTCTTTGCCGCCTGATCGCCAAATACTCCGATGTTTCTTGACTTTGAAAACTTTCCATCTTCATAATTCAAATACTCAGTGGTGCTTATGGATTTGAGCATCGTGTAGGGCTCCCCAGTGCCAAGCAAAGAAGACGGAAAAACAACCGTATGGAAGGGAACGTTGTCCTTGCCCATGAATTGGACAAGCTCGACATCGTTTGGATTCATCCACCATTTTTTCCATTCTGTGCAATTACTTGCTGCAAGGTAATTTGCCGTGATCGAAATGTATCCAATACACGCGTCAAACCAAACATAGAATACTTTGTTTGGAAAATCTGGAACGGCAGTTCCCCACTTCAGGTCTCGAGTGATGCACCGCGGAGTTAGCCCCTTAGAAAACCAAGCCTCGCTTATATCTACTGCGTTGGAGGACCATTTGGCCATAGCTTTATCAGATGTAGCTTTAAGCCAGTTATGGCATTGCTCCTGCAAAGATGGAAGGTTCAAAAAGTGATGGCTCGATTGACGGACTTTTGGAGTATTGGAATCCAATTTGCAACGGGGATCTTTCAACTCGGTCACTGCGTTCAGCAGGCGGCCGCATTTATCACACTGATCACCACGAGCATCAAGATACCCGCAAAAGCCGCATGTGCCCTCAATAAAACGGTCTGCAAGAAAACGCGAGCACGAATCACAAAAGAGCTGCTCAACGGTATCTTCATAGATAAATCCATTGCACTTTAAGGCCGAATAAATCGATTGTGTAATTTCGGTTTGCAAGGGCGTGGCGGTGCGTCCAAAATAGTCCATATCGATGCCAAACCACTTGTAGACATCTTTATGCACCTCATAATATTTGCTGCAAAGTTCTTCGCAAGAAACGCCGTCCTGAAGGGCTTTGGTTTCCGTTGCCGTTCCATATTCGTCTGTACCGCATATGAAAAGTGCATTGTATCCGATGGAGCGGCAATATCGGGCATACACATCAGCTGACAAAACGCTTCCGATGATATTTCCCAAATGCGGCACATTGTTAACATAGGGTAGCGCTGCGGTGATAAGAACATTTCGTTGTCCCGCCTTGGGTAATCTGCTAATAAGCTACAATGCGACCTACATGACGTTGGGACGAAGCTCGTTAAAGCAAACAGAAGATTCCTTGATATTGCTAGCAAGAGCGCAATTTCCTACCATTCTTATCAAGCGCAGATTATGAAGATTGGTAAAGGGACGGGCCTTCAGAAAAAAAGCTGCTATGACTTTAAAAATATCATCACCGCTAACACACCGTCTAAAGTTTACAATTTTAATTTTCTTATGGGTTCCAAATCTAGAATATCTCCACTGATTGGTTATAACTGTGACATAGAATGACATCATGCTTAATTCATCAACTCCATAGAGATAGGAATTCTTAATCGTAAAGCCGCTTTTTTTGACGATCTGATATCGCCTTTTTAATTGCTCTATGATTATGATATTTTTTCCTATTTATCTCTGTTTTATAACGCTGTTCGTTAAAGGCATCAACACGAAGCCATTTAGCTGCATTTCCGAAATATATTGCCAAGGCAAAATGCTAGACGAAATCCAAAGATCCGGAATCTTTCTAGATTCAAAGACATTTGTAGACATGCCAACCAAAAGACCTGAATCCCAGGTGCTTGCCGCTTTTCATGACCTTCCTGAAAATGCCAGTCTTTCTGATCTTCACAAATTTCTTAATGAAAACTTTGATCCACCGGGCTCCGAATTGGATTACCCAAATCCGGAAGACTGGAAGGACAATATTGAGCTGTTCAATAATATCCACGACCCGGATTTGCTCGAGTTTTCGAAGGAAATACACTGCAAATGGAAAAATCTTATAAGGGTTGTTAACTTTTCTAGGTTGTGTGAAGGATGTGTCTCCAGTCATTTAAATCTGAAATTTCCATTTGTCGTTCCGGGCGGACGATTTCGCGAGTTCTATTATTGGGATACGTTTTGGATACTGGAAGGATTGCTGATCAGCGAAATGTGGCAGACGGCAAAGGGGGTTCTTTTAAATTTTTTCGAAATTGTGGACCAATTCGGATACATTCCCAATGGATCCAGAATTTACTATCTCAACCGCTCACAGCCTCCGTTGCTTGTTCAGATGGTCAAGTTATATATTGAATATACGTCGGATTACTCGATTCTATTATCTGCACTTCCATTTCTTGATAGAGAATACCTGTTTTGGATGAATTACCGGGTTGTTGAGCTTGAGCATGCAACGTCTGGATCTTTCAAGCACCGTCTTAATGTGTATAGGGTGAACAATACTTTGCCAAGGCCAGAAAGCTTAATGGAAGACATTCATTTGGGAAAAAACTTGCCTGCAGATGAAGAACGCATTCGGTTTTACGGGAATCTTGCATCTGCAGCGGAGTCTGGCTGGGATTTTTCTTCACGATGGTTCAAGTTTGACTCTTTAAAGGATAAGCACACCCATCAAGAGTACAGCCAGATGCACGGCAGTGCTCGGTCATATTCGGTTCCGTTTGAAGATTTGACATCCATCGACATAGTGAGCTTGATCCCTTTGGATTTGAATGCAATCATGTTTGCAAATGAAAAGATCCTGGCAACATTTCATACAATTATGACTTTGCACTTTGGTTACGCGCCATCTGCCATGGTAGACTTTTACACAAAAAGCGCCGCTTCAAGATACGAAGCGATGAAAATGTTTCTTTGGAGCCCCACTCTTTCCATGTGGTCGGATTATAATTTCGTGACAAAGAAACTGAGGAACGAGGCAATCTATGACTTTGATGTGCAAAAGCCACATTCCAAGCCTTTGCTTTCGAAATTTTATATTTCCGATTTTTCTCCGATCTGGTATTTCGATAATTGCGATTTGGAAGGCTTTGAACGCGTAAGCATCACAACCAGCAGCAACGTCAATTGCTTGGATGATTTGAAAAGATTAAACGATCTCGTGCTGATCAATTTGCTCGACCATGTAGAGTGCTCCCTAAAGCAGCAAAACGGCGATAAGAATGAGTCTCGCCTGTGGAACTATCCCGGAGGCATACCGATCAGTGAAATTGTTTCCGGTCAACAATGGGATTTTCCTAATGCATGGGCCCCTTTTCAATACTATCTTGTGTTTGCTCTTTTAAAGAAAAGCCAATCCACACAAGATGGGTCTCTCAAAAATAGACTTAAACATGCAGCGCTCGAAATTGCCCAGCGGTGGATCAAAAGCACCTTTTGCGGATGGAAGCGGACTGGCCATTTTTTCGAAAAGTACAATGTGCTTTATGCAGGCATGCCCGGAGAGGGCGGTGAATATATCGTGCAAGATGGGTTCGGATGGACCAATGCGGTTATTTTAATGATGTTGAAGAAATTTGGCAAAGATTTGAAGTTACCGATGGATTGTAGCATTCGTCCCCCAATATATCCCTATTTCAAGTCCACGCTAAAGGCCTCTCTGGTGCGCCACAGTGAACTTGTGCGATCTTCCAGCGAAAAATGCTTAAAAGATCTGCACTCGATCATACAAAGCACTGCCCACGAGAAGACTATTTTGAATCTGCATTGATAATGCCAAACTAATTTTATATTAAAATTTTTTTATTGGATAACAGTGGCTGGTAAACAGCTCGTCTGCATTGTTTTCATAAATATGTTTTAGATGCAATGTGGCCAATTCAACGTTCGCGGGACAGCCTTCGACAATGTTGTGTTGGATTTGCCAAACCACCAATTCGCACAAAAGTCGCTGCACATGCGCATTGCCATTTGGAAAGCGGAACATTTTAATAATTTGCGTGCCATTGAGAATCGGCTTGAGCGTCCATAGCTTATCCAGATTGTATTTCAGGATTAGCCGGTGCAGCTGACTGAATGCCAGAGCGACCGTGTCAACAACGCAATTTGGAATGTTCAAAACGGCGTTTTCTTTGTCAAGAAAAAGATCTTCAACCGATGGCTTGGGTGTCGTTTTTGGAGAGAAAAGCATTTTTTCGATGCAAAGAACCTGGGAAATAACCCATGTCATTTCCCAACGCGGTCCAATCAATCGTAAGCAGGAGCACAGCCTTTCAAAATCAATCGACATAACATCCTGCCATCCAACGCAATCCAGCAGTTCGGGAAAAAAATTCGCACCCTCAATGGACAACGTAATGTGGTCCTCCTCGATGTTGGTTGTTTTCAAGGCATATTTACAAAGGAATGAGGAGACTGGGATGGTGGAAAATTTATCCGTGCTGGATTTGTAAGCTAAAAGCCCCTTGTGGGGGAGGAATATGGCACACAGGTGCAGAAGATAGAGCATTTGGTCCTGCAGCGGAAACGAAATCCTTTTCATCCCAATTTCCTTGCCATCATATGGGACGTCCTCGTGTCTACAACAAAGAGACTCGATAAAGATTTGATTTTTCAAAAGCCTATCGAGAATTTGTGAAAAAATCCAGCCTTGAGCCATCGAATGGGCTTCATATTTTTCAAGGCTACCTTCAAATTGGGAGTATTGGCCTAAATTGGAGATCATGATGGGATGCCAAAAAACGGACTGCCAAATTTTCAATCTCCAAAGCATCGATAAGGAGAGAAACGGATGCGGACCTGTAAGCATTTTTTTGACCTCAATTCCAATTCTTTCTCTGCTGATCTTTTCGTATAACAAATCCCTTATCTTTGGAGTGTTGAGCAGGGAATCATAAATTTCCTTATCAATTTCAAAAGAAAATCGGGAGGCAAATCGAACCACTCTTAATATACGTAAAGGGTCATCCATAAATATGGCCGAAGATGGCAACGGCGTGCGAATGAGCCCGACGGAGAGGTCCCTAAGACCTCGGCCGGTCCAGTCTTCCACTCGTTCAGTGTGGATATTATAAAACAAAGAGTTGATGGTGATATCTCGTCGATGGGCATCGTCAGATGGGGAGCCGAATACCATTCTGGTTGGAATTCTAGACGTTTCGGAATACATTTCAGACCGAAGATTGACAAAGTCGATTTTCTGGCCAAACAGCGATAAACATGCCGTTTCCAGATGTTTTGATTGATGCGGTCTAGCTGCAACCACTGCAACGGAAGTAATCGGGAGGCCCTTTTGTTTGACGAACGAGCAAAAAATGGTGGCAAACTTTTCCCCCGTCATTGAGTCGATGGAAACATCAATGTCAGATGACGTTATTCCAAGCAGCTTGTCACGCACCCAGCCGCCTGCAAATCTTAGGATCACCGAATTAGGCGATATAATTGGCTGCAAATGGTCCAAAGTTGTGCCTTTCGTGAAGTGATGATGCTCGAAAGAGGTGGTGGGAGAAGGCGGGATTTGGAGCACCTTATTGTCCAATGCAGCTTTGCATTCGTTTAAAAGAGAAACAATGCGCCTCTCCAAGTCCGTAAGGATAATTCGCTTTGAAAGCACTTCGATTTCCTCGGCAGACGGACCCTGGTCTTCTCGCAGCATGTATGCCTTGTACTGATGTTCCGTGGTATTTACGGCCTTTCCAATAACATCGGCCAAAATAGAAAATGACGGGTTTTTGCTAAGCATTTTACAAACCGGGGTTCCAGGCGCAATCAATTGTTTGAATAATGACTTGGCATAAAGCATAAACAATTCCAATTTATTTGAGCTAATTTAAAATTTAATGGATTTTGAAGGTCTCTCCCCGGCGTCCCCTTTAATTGGAGACAAGGAGAATGGATTTTCCTCTTTATTACAAGAATACCTCAATTCTGATGACAGGCATCTTCTTCACTGTGAAGTATCTTTTCGGGTTTAACCATAGTTGCTATCGGCATCCTATTCAAGCTGGAGGAGAATCCGCGGTGATGGAAATTGCCTGTATTCCGCCTTTATCTTTGGGTTTCTGGAAAGGTTGACGCTAAATTTTGATGATTTTTCAATTCTGCTAGAGCAAATCGTTGATCATCACTCGAACTTTATCAGGACCTCCATATTGGGCCCTGCCGACTTTGACCTAAATATCACAGACGAGTTTCTCGAGTGTTTCATCGAGTTGTTGCAGTCCATTTTTTCCAGCGCTAACAACAATCATAAAGATACAGCGATAGCCATTTTGACTTCCACCCTCAACGATGACATTATGGGGTCCAAGTCGATCATTGCCTATTTGCGTCTGGTTGCTTCCGGATGGATCAAGCTGAATTCGGATTCTGTACTACCCCGTATTATTGGTCTAAATTATTCGTTTAGATCTGATTACAGATGATGAAGATAATATGGGCGAGCCACCATTGCATGCTGGCCAATTGATCGACTCCTATTGCTCGCGTGTGGTCGAGCCTATGGACCAAGCCTCTGACGATATTTCGATTTTGGCTCTTGTTAAGACATTTTCAATAATGCCGTGGTTTTCCCTTTCTGTAAAAATAATCTCAACCGATACAAAGGAGGACTATCTTCCAGAATTTACTTATTCAACCGATACTGTGCACAATGGAGTTAACTTTCACATGCTATTTCGACCTGGACATTATGATCTCGTTTATCAATAAACTGAATGTGTAAACGGAGTTTGCAATTGGACCGATACATTGATTTGACACCCCGATTTTATTCATCCATTAGACCTAATGCTTTCAGTTGCTTCAGCAAAAACACGTTTAGTTTCTCCGATCGATTCTGCTTTAGCTCCATATCTTGGAAATTCGAGCGATGGGCCACCACAATATCGAGACTCAAAGAGGATCTGGATTCAAGAGATGGTTTGAACCAATTGTCAATTATGCAATAATCCCTAGAATTTACCTCAAAGAAATTGATCAGCGCTTCCTTCAACGTATAAAGATTATCCATCAAATCTTGCGGACTTTGCATGCCAAATTTGAACGAAATGGTTTCCGTTTGCGGTAGACTCCTTCGGATGTTATAAATTGGCTTATCGAAGAGGATGCTGTTTTGGATATATAAACATCTTCCGTCATTGGTAATAAATACGGTGGAAAGAAGCCCGATTTCGGTAACAATGATTCCTTCATATTCGTCAAATGATACGCGGTCTCCAACATCATAAGGATGAGAGAGGAGCACAAATACGACCGAATACAGCAGATTAGAAGCAAGTTTCGCAAAAACAAAGGAAAGACCAAAGAACACGGTGCCAAATGCAGCAATACAGCTGGTTGACAGGTCAAATATTTGCAGCACTAATGCAAACAGAACGATACCCAACAAGGACAAAGCCAAAATATCAAGCTGGCGGATAATGGATTCGTTTTCTGCAAGGCTTTTCAAAATTGTTCCCCTCTCCTTAAAGGTTGATATGATGTGTTCAGAGAGCTCCTGGACAGAAATATCACCATTGTCATTTTGATCGAGTAGCTTGAATGCTTCAGAGGCATCATTACTATTTGGGAAAATAAAGTTGAAGTCTTCCTGTACCAAGAAAAGAGAGGCCTGTTTATTTGGGTCAAAGGCATCTCCTTCTTCGTATTGTTCTTGTTCTTCCTCCTCTTCTTGTGCATAATTGTCATCCTCAGTATTTGAGCTTATGGATTGATCGTGTTGATCTTTATCTTTCTTTATCGATCGCTTAAGGGACACAAATATTTGATAAGCAAGAGTAGTCGCCTCCGAATGATATTGATCGAGATCATAATTCTCAAAGCTAGAGATTTTGGCAGATGAATTGACGCCCTCGAAAGAAGAAAAATTGGGCGTTATTCCCGCAATATGGGCAAATAATCCAGAGAGAGCCTGTGAAAAGGGAACTTTCGATTGAGCGAGAGCAAATTTTTTCAAAGTCATGATAACCGCCATTTTGAAGTTGTTCTCTTTTATCCGATCTCGGTAGTTAAAACGATGGAAGGAAATGGAAACTCGTTGCATCAACCATTGCTCCAGAGTAAAAGCCCCGGTGATGCAGGTGATTGCAATTATTGTGCGCCGTAATAGAAACTGCCAAGTTACGAGCTTTTGAAGCTGCGTAGTAATATCCTCTGAAATTGAGGTTACTTGTGTTGTAGCTTCTAAAAAAATTCTGTTTGACATAAACACAGAAAACAAGCAAACAATGAACGAGATAATGAGCGGGCGTAATCGAATCATGTGAGCAAGCTCTTCACAGAATTTGTCATTTTCGCTAAAAGAAGTGAATTCGATAAGCATATGTGGGATTAGATCAAGTAGGGCCAAGGTAAACAAATAAGAGCCAACAATCCATAAAATGAAGCCACACCAGCGGATTAATTCCAGAAGAGGAAAGAGCGTATCATTCGCTTGATACTCAAAAAAAGGATAGGAATATGAGTCTCCAATTCGATTAAGCATAAAGTTGGTAAATATCATCAAAGAGATTCCAATAAGTCCATTCAGAAACTCGATCAAGAACTGGGAGTTCAATATGCTACGCTTTTCAGATGCCGGTTTTAAAGATGAGGACAAAGCGGCTCCATGCTTCTTGAAGGTTTCACCGGAGCTAAGAACATTAGATATCTCACTTAGTCGAACAGGCTCGAAAGATCCTTGCTGATCTGAATTTTGAAAAAATAGCATAGATGTCTCAGAGGGTATGGCTTCAAGTGCAATCTCGGATTTCGATGAAGGAAGGTTGTGGGAATCAGATGTCGGGGATATCTGTATCTGCACGTTTGGGTTGTCTGTGCTCTTTAAGCTAAAAGCAGAAGATGAAGCAGTGGCCATTATTGGCTTTAGAAAATAGCTCGAGAAATATTCTTATTCATGATTACAATTGGTAGAAAAAAAGTAGACCAATTAAAATCCATGCCATGATTAAATAAAAATTAAATTGTATCAAATCAGACCGCTAGCTCCAATATATTTCTTCTCTCACCAAAGGACAGATGACATTTTGCATTGCGAATGAATCTAATAAAAATAGAGATGTGTTGGAAAGTGAAAATTTGATGTACTGAATCCATTTTTAAAATTTCCATATTAAGCGTGTGCATAAGATTACGAACACAAGCGAAGCGTGTAACCGCTAATGATGCATTTTCCAATTTAAAGGGAAAATTAATTTTTAACTTTTACAGCATGAAGGGCCTCATAGATGCATTTGCTGAGTCATTTTCGCACTCTGAGGGAAATGTTCAACTCTATAACTCTGTGTTAGAGAAGAGCGAGCAGTTCTTTCACTACTCCGAGTCCTTGGCTAGTCCTGACCCATTACTTGGTAAGGGCATAACTTTACTATTTTCAGAAAAATACCATTTTATTTTATCATTGAAGGAAAAGCTGCAGCATCTCGCAGCCCAATACAAAGACTCTCAATGTAAATTGAGAAATCTCAATGTCGAGCTTAATTTTATGAAAAAAATACGAGAAAACCGCTGCTCTGGCTTTTTCTCCGAATTTATAGCGCAACTTGAGCAGATTTACTCGGGTAACGTGTCTCCTATTGATGAAGATTCGTTTGAAACTGGCATAGAATGTTTAAAACAAGAATATATTCGGCTTAAGGAGGGAGCCGTTTCTCTGGATGGCAGTAGTCGTGATTTCGAATCGTTTCAAAAGCTTAGTGTGGATTTTGTGCAGTTTTATTTTCTAATCTGCTCAAGTT